GGGGAATGGGATCAATGGGGTCAGGAATGGGGTCAGGAACGGGGAATGGGATCAATGGGGTCAGGGATGGGGTCAGGAACGGGGAATGGGATCAATGGGGTCAGGAATGGGGTCAGGAATGGGGAATGGGATCAATGGGGTCAGGAATGGGGTCAGGAATGGGGAACAGGATCAATGGGGTCAGGAATGGGGAATGGGATCAATGGGGTCAGGAATGGGGTCAGGAATGTGATTTCAGGGTACCCCCCCCTAGTTTTAGGGGTTCCCCCATTTTTGGGGTCCCTCCCCCTGTGTTTGGGTTCCCTCTCCCCATTTCCGGTGTCCCTGACCCCATTTTTAGGATCCTTTTCCCCATTTTCGGGCTCCCTCTCCCCATTTTTGGGTTCCTTTTCCCCATTTTCAGAGTCCCTCTCCCCATTTTTGGGGTCCCTGATCCCATTTTTGGGGTCCCCGATCCCATTTTTGGGGTCCCTCACCTGCGCCGCCATTCCCATGAAGGCCCAGAGCCGGAACATTCTCAGGGGGACGCTCACCAGGTACTGCGGGAACAGCGGGGTTTGGGGTCATAATGGGATTTTGGGGTCCCCATGGGGATTTTTGGGGTTCCCAGTGGGATTTTGGGGTTCCCCTGAGGATTTTGGGGTTCCCAGTGGGATTTTGGGAGGTTCCAGAAGGATTTTGGGGTTCCCATCAGGATTTTGGATGAATCCCTCCAGGATTTCCGGGGGTCTCAATGGAATTTTGGGGTTTCCCATCAGGATTTTTGGGTTTCCCAGTGGGATTTTGGGGTTCCCATCAGGATTTTGGGGGTCCCAGAGGGATTTTTGGGGTTCCCGTCAGAATTTTTGGGTTTCCCATCACAATTTTGGGGTTTCCCATCAGGATTTTCTGGGTTCCCGAGGGTTTTTTTGGGTTCCCATCAGGATTTCTGGGGTTCCCATCAGGATTTGGGGTTCCCCAGATGGAATTTTGGGGTTTCCCAGTGGGATTTTGGGGTTCCCAGTGGGTTTTTTGGGGTCCCCATCACAATTTTGGGGGTTCCTCCCAGGATTTTGGGGGATCCCAGAGGGGATTTAGGGTTCCTATCAGGATTTTCAGGTTCCCAGTGGATTTTTGGGGTTCCCAGTGCGATTTTTGAGTTTCCATCAGGATTTTTGGGTTTCCCATCAAGATTTTTGGGGCTCCCAGTGGAATTTTTGTGTTTCCATCCAAATTTGGGGTTTTCCAGTGGTATTTTGGGTTTCCCAGTAGAATTTTGGGTTCCCAGTGGGATTTTTGGCATTCCCAGTGGGATTTTTGAGTTTCCATCCAGATTTTTGGGTTCCCAGGTGATTTTTTTGGGGTTCCCAGTGGGATTTTTGAGGTTCCCAGGGGTTCTTTCATGTTTCCCATCAGGATTTGGGGGTCTCCAGGGGGATTTCTGGGTTTCCCAGTGGGATTTTTCAGGTTCCCATCAGGATTTTTGCGTTTCCATCCAAATTTTGGGTTTCCCATCAGAATTTTGGGGTTCCCAGGGGGATTTTTGGGGTTCCCAATGGGATTTTTGAGTTTCCATCCAGATTTTTGGGTTCCCAGTGGGATTTTTGGGGTTCCCATTGGGATTTTTGGGGTTCCCAGGGGGATTTTGGGGATTCCAAATGGGATTTTTGAGTTTCCATCAAGATTTTGGGTTTGCCATCAGAATTTTGGGGTTCCCAGGGGGATTTTTGGGGTTCCCAGTGGGATTTTTGGGGTTCCCATCAGGATTTTTGGGGTTCCCAGCTGCATTTTGAGGGGTCCAATCAGGATTTTTGCATCTCCATTCCAATTTTGGGTTTCCCATCGGGATTTTTGGGTTTCCAGGGGGATTTTTGGGTGATTTTTGGGTTCCCAGGGGGATTTTTGGGGTTCCCAGGGGGATTTTTGTGTTTCCATCCAGATTTTGGGGTTCCCATCAGAATTTTGGGGTTCCCCATCAGGATTTGGGATTTCCATGGGATTTTTTGAGGCTCTCATCCACATTTTTGGGTTTCCCAGGGGGATTTTTGGTTTGATTTTTGGGGTTTCTGCCGGGATTTGGGGCTGCTGACCTCATGGAAGAAGGCGGAGGCGAGGAACACGGCCGTCTGCGCCGTCCACTTGCTGACCCCCCTCCTCAGCATGGGTTTGTAGAAATGCCTGGAGAGCCCCAAAAATTCACCCAGAGACCCCCCCAAAACACAAACTATTCCCCCAAAAAATCCCAGAGTTTCAAAATCCATCCCAAAATACTCAAAATCCAACCAAAAATCATCAAAACCCACCCCAAATGCTCAAAATCAACCCTGAAATCCCCTCTAAAATCCAATTCCCCCAAAATCCATCCCAAAATACTCAAAATCCCCCCC